ATTATGGGCAAAATTTTGTTGTCAGTATTTTTAGTCTCATTGTTGCAACACTTCAACTCTATTATTGTAGTGTAAAAGTGGACAAAGACAGACAGTACCTAAATGGATGAGGGTGCTTGTGTTTCTGTAAAACTGTATTTATGGATACTTAAATCTGGACTTCATAATGTGCACATGTCATTATATAGTATTCTTTTGGTTTTGTTAAATTACTTAATATAAAAAACACAAAACAAGCTAGTACACTAAACAAACAAGCAAAACAAAAGGTTGAACTTGAGCAAAAGACCATTTGCTGATCTGAGAAAGGTTCTTAAGTAAGCACAATGTTCTTTATTAATATGATTTTTAGAGCTTATTATTTACTCAGTATATCTAGTTCATCTCAGTTTTACAATGCTAGGCTTTTAAGCTTAGTTACGTTTTAAATAGATTGAATTATATGGAAATTCAGAGATCAGCAGGCCCTGATATGCCTTTTACAGGTAAATACAATTCTTTGTTACTGTGAAAATGATCCATCGTTTGAGAGAGAAGATCATTCTCTGACAAATGCTGTAGCTGCCAGTAAGGGAAGGTTCGTTCCTGGATAGCGTTCTCCCACAGAGCTCGTGGTGGGTTTGAACCACTGACCTTGTCGTTTGCTGTTTAATTCTTACTCAGCAGGGCCACCAGAGCTCCTCCCCACCTACAAAGGAGGCTTCAAAAAGTTTGTGGGAAAATTCCATTTTTCTCTAAACTTTTTGAAGTGCCCTCTTATTTCCTGAAAAGATTATGGTCATTGTACAGTGTGATCATGTTATAGATAGCTTGTAATTAAAACTCAGGAGATATAAGCAGTCCTTCATATTTGAAAGCCAGCTTCCTTCTTGTATTCTCCTTGTTATTAAATACAAACATTCTATACGCTTCACAATAACTAAAAAAGTTCTTTCTAAATCTTCCCCAGAGTGAAGACCAGCAAGAGGTGATCCTTGTCAGAAGAGACCAGTCTGGAAGAGTATGGCCTGTGAACACCGGGATAACCCCGGAACCCAAAGGAGGGAGCAGGAGGAGACGGATAGTATGTTTAACCTTATGTCTCTCTTAACTCCAAATTCCTTTCCCCTCCATCCTTGGAGCTTCTTTGCATCAGGCGACTTCAAAATATTTTCTAAAATGTACTTTCTATTGCATACACTAGAGAATATTAGAATCTGTTGCTCCTTTCATTCTTAGTCTTTTTTTTTTTTACAAAGTGTCATCTACTGCAACTACTTATATACTCGAGTATAAGCTGAGGCACCTAATTTTACCACAAAAAAACGGGGGATTTTTCAGCATAAAAAATATGATGGAAACAACTTGGCTGATACTTGAGTATATATTGGTATGTGTGTGTGTGTGTGTGTGTGTATTTTTTATACTCTGTAACTCAATTTACCCTCACATGCATATCCTTTTTTAATTGATTAAAAATTTTTTCATTTGATGATTATTGTTAAGAAACAATGTAAGATATGAAAATAATAATTTATAATTTATCAAGGGGTCATGAGGGTTGGAGGGGGGACGAGGAGCTGATACCAAGGGCTCAGTAGAAAGTTAATGTATAGAAAAGAATGATGGCAACATACATACAAATATGCTTGATACAATTGATGTATGGATTGTGACAAGAGTTGTGAAAGCCCTCAATAAAATGATCTTTTAATAATAATTAAAAAAAGAATATACACAGCAAATACACCAGTTTATCAATTTCTCTACCATTTAGTGGCATTATTATTTTCTCTGAGTTGTACAACCATTCTCACCCTCTTTTTCTGAGATGTGCTTTGCCATGGACATATCTACCTTTTCAAGTTGCTATTACCTAGATGATGCACTGCAGACAGCTCTTCAGGAGTATCATGATCATGGCAGACATTAGTCACACGAAACTGTTATTTTGGTCTTAAGAAGACATCAGAGAATATTTTTGACTTCAGTTTTAAGATCTTGAGACAATAGTTTTTTTTTAATGGAAAAATTCCATTGCCTTTTATTTTATTTATTTTTATTGTTTTCTTTTAAAAATCATTTTATTGGGGGCTCGTCCAAATCTTATC